TGGCCGGAAAATTATAAAATAAAAAATAAATAATTTTTAATAAATAAATAATAATAAATAATAATTTTATTTAATTTAATTAATTTAATTATTTAATTAATTTAATTTAATTTAATTTAATTTAATAATTTAATTTAATTTAATTTAATAATTTAATTAAATTAATTATTTAATTTAATTATGTGCGACCCAAACCAAATTTTCAACTTCTAATGTGGCCCAGGGAAGGTGAAAGGTTGGACACCCCTGCCTTAGACGCTGCTTTTAATCCCTACATGAATTGACTCATCTCAATAAAGGATTCCTTTTGATAAGTTTAGTTTCCAGAAGTTCATTCTACTTGATTGAATGGGAAAAGTTCTGTAGCCTGACATAAAGCAGCGTCTAAGGTCTCTCAGGCATGCAAAGATAGTAATTTGTTTTTCTTTTGTTCCATGCTTTTAATTTTTTTGGCTTCTATCTTTTACTTTTTTCTGCACTTTGCATGATTGGTATAGCTGTATAAACTCATTAGCATTTAAATAAAAGGTACTCCTACCACTAAAATGGCTTTTACTTTCTAATTTAGGAAATGTTGAGTTCTATTCCTTTAAAAAAATGTACAGCAAATTTTTGAGTAAAAACTACAGGTAGTCCTTGACTTACAACAGTTCATTTAGTGACCGTTCAAAGTTAGAATGGCACTGAAAAATATGACTGATCACCATTTTTCAGTTACAACCTTTGCAACACCCCCATGATCATGTGATCAAAATTCAGATGGTTGGCAAATGGCTCATATTTATGACCACTGCTGCATCCCAGGGTTGTGTGATCCCCTTCTGTACCTTCTGACAAGCAAAGCGAATGAGGAAACCAGATTCACTTAACAACCGTGTTATTAATTTAACAACTGCAGTGATTCACTTAACAAGGGTAGCAAGAAAATTTTTAACATGGGGCAAAAGTCACTTAACAAATTTCTCACTTGACAACATAAATTTGGGGCTCAATTGTGGTCGTAAGTTGAGGACTACCTGTATCCAAGTCAGCAGCCCAGCCTTCTCTGACAAAGACTCTACAACAACTCAAAGGGCCGTATGCACCAGAAAGACATAGTTCTAAAAAACAAGAAGTTATTAAAGTAATTTTAAGTAAAGCGATAAACAAAGATGAACTCATGTGTGTGAACTGCAAAATCTCAGAAAAAGTGCACAACTAAACGTGGAAACCCTCAGTCACGCACACTGATGTCTCAGCTCATATATTTACATTTTTCTTATTAGTGAAGCTTTACAATGCAATTTTACTTCGTATTTATAAACCGCCTAAAGCCTGTGAAGAATGAGGCGGTGAACTGCTTACTAGGAAGGACGCATTGCATGCATTCCGAGGCATTTTAGTTAAATTTGCGGGTATAAAATTGAACTTCGGATATAATGAATCGCCTAAGCTAAATTTTCCTGAAATGTCAGGAAAATGACAGAAAATAAGTCTGGAGGCCGAGACTGTAAGGAAGGACAGCCTACTACGAGGAAGAGTTTGCCTTCATCCTCTCCGCCCCCGAAATGCTTTAGGGCCACTCCTGATCCCTTCTCACCAGAGCCAGCCCTGCAGTCGCTAATAGCACGATCCCTTCGACCAGCCAGCTCAGTTCCATCGTCAGCTTCTTTAGCACTTCACTTCTCCATTCAGGCGTGTTCAACCAGCCCACCTCTCAGAGGGACTCATCGAAAGAGACACGAAAGCGGAAGGAAAGAATGACGAGACGGGAAAGGCTGAGCTTCCGGTGTGTAGAGCAGCCTATTGGTTCAGGTGATTAGACATTTAGGAAGACAACTAACTAAAAATGCTTTTTTGGAAATTCACGAAGGTCAACAAATTCATGTCGTGTGAAAGACACATGAGGTTTGTTTAAAATATGTTGTCTGCAAAAGTTGTGGATCCTCTGTGACTGGAGGCTTTTAAGAAGAGACTGGACAGTGAATCACTTGTCTGAAATCGTATAGGGTCCTCCTGCTTTGAGTAGGGGGCTGGACTAGAAGACCTCCAAGGTCTCTTCCAAGTCTGTTATTCTGTTCTATGCATTGAAATTAATCTGAGTGAGCACTGATACGGCAATGAAGATCTTTGGCAGCAATCTTTGAGCAGTTTTGTATTCTGAAGCTCACCGTCGGTTCGTTTTCTAAGGTACAAAATTAACTGTACACCTATTTTCAATGAACCTGTCTGGTCTTTAAAATGGCAATGACTTAAATAAACAGCGATTTTATTTGTACTGTAAAACTGTTTAAGAACTAGAAAAATGCTATGTGAAAGAAGACAGGCTTATGCGGACGGTCTTTCCTTCGAATCGATTCGTGACATTAAGGCGCCTCTGCATAATATCATAGAACATAAAATAACAGAGTTGGAAGGGACCTTGGAGGTCTTCTAGTCCAATCCCCCGCTCAAGCAGGAGACTCTATACCATTCTGGACAAATGAATGTAATCTTAGTAACAATCACGGAAGTGGTTTGCAAACCCCTATTTAAAAAAACCAGCGTAGCTTTTCATCCAAGAGATTATCCTCACGTCATATGCAGAAATTCTGCATTTCTTTACTTATATGTATAAGGAAAACCGTAAGATTCTCGTAACATTGAATTCAGAAAATTAGGTGAAGTGGTTTTTTTAACCTCCAGCTATACCATTGCCACCATCCGGGAGACCGGTCGCTTTCGTTTTGCCGAAACTGCCGACAACGTGCCAATCTCTCTTTTTTTCTAGTTCTAATTGCATCGCAGACTCGATTTAGTAGCGCCTGCCGCAGCTGGATTATTTTTAGTCTCTATCAATTGCTAAACGAAGAAGCCAGTGAAGTGACGGTGACGATGGCGGCGACTGTAACGGCCGCGTTCAGGTAAATGTTTGTTTCCTGCCGATCGGGGAACGCCGAGTGTTTCCCCTCGTGCCCAAACCGTTCCTGGTTCCGGAGTGTCTTGGGCGCGAACGCTCGCGCCTGGGAATTCTCCTAACTCGCGATCAGGCATTTTCCGTTTCTGGAAGTTCTCCCTTGCTTCTTACTGTTAAAAGGGGAGAAAGGTATACTTTTCTTCACCAGGAAACGATCTGCAGAAACCCTTTCTCCTATGTACTGAATCGTTATTGCTGAGAGTTTCAGCTTTGTGCGAATGCGTATTTTTGAACTACACCCTCAATCTGCTCTATTTACCAAGTTTAGGTCACATTCAAATTGGAAAGATGTATGCATTCCTGCAGTAGTGAAAGAGGACCAGTGAAAAGAAATGGGCTTAATTGGACTGTCTTCTTTGAGAGAGGCCAGTTTAAGAATGTTCCCTGATCCTTAACCAAAACCTTTGCTTGTTCTTCTGTTCCACCGAGTCTAACCCTTCTTTATGGGCAATTAAAAATAGTTTTTTGTTCTCATTTTTTAAGTTATTTCAATGCTCATAAAATACCTCAGAAAGGTAGGTGAATTTCCCCTAGCAAGAGGGATCCAGGGGCAACATCTTTTAGAGCAGAGGTCGCCAACTGGTGGTCTGCGGACCACTGGTGGTCCGCAAAAAAATTTTGGTGGTCCATAGGGCACCTGTGCCTGCAACGGGTGCTACCATTGCTGGATGGACTGATGCATGCAGGGAGGGCGGGTAGCGTGCAGGAGATTACAGCATCGGAGCCCTTCCTGGGTGTTCCCTGGCCTGCAAGGGGAGGGCGCTATCTCCCACACCCTTCCCCTCAGGAGCCGTAAAGCACTCGCTGCCCCTCTGGCAGCTGCAAAGCTTCCTACCACTGGTGCTTCTCTTCCTCCTCACCAGAAACGCTCAGCGGGAAGGAGGAGGCTTGGCAGGTGCCAGAGGGATGGTGAGTGCTTTGTGGCACCTGAGGGTAGGGGTTGAGCCTCCCCCTTGCAACATCTTCACCTGAGGGCATTGCTGGCAGCCGCTTCCTGCAGCTCAGGAGGTCCGTGCTCTTCCCGCTGCTGCTCGGCCTCCTCGATGTGTAGAGGCAGGAGGCAGCAGCCACGACACAGATTTGGTAGGGAGACTGCAGGATTGCCCCACCTCCCCGCCAGCCATATGTCTTCAGCACGCCTCCTCCTTCCCACTGGGTGTGTGAGCACTTCTGGCGAGGAGGAAGAGAAGCACAGTAGTAGGAGGCTTTGCAGCTGACTCCAGACATCAGATTCCCACCAACCAGCACCAGTTCAGAGGTTCCTTTCCCCCCACCCCCACCCCCGGGGACAGAAAGAGAGAGACAAGACAGAGGGAGAAAGAGAGAGAGAGGGAAAGAGGAGAGAGACAAGACACAGAGTGAGAGAGAGAGAGAGGAAGAGAGAGGGGAGGAAGAGAGAGATAGGGAGAAAGAGGGGGAGAGGGAAAGAGGGAGAGAAGACACAAAGAGAGAGGGAAAGAGTGAGACAAGAGAGAGGGAGAAAGAAAAAGAGAGGGGGGAGAGGGAAAGAGAGACGAAAGAGGGAGAAAGTGGGAGAGAGAAAGGGAAAGAGAAAGAGAAGGCAGGGAGAAAGGGAGAAAGAATGGGAGAGGGAAAGAGAGAGAGACAAGACACACAGAGAGAGAAAGAGAGAGACTTCATGCAAGAAAAGCAGCAGAAGCAGCAGAACTCTTTCTTTCTTTCCCCAAACTCCACCAGAAATGAGTCTTTGTGAGACTTGTCACACTGGTGCAGCCTCTTGGAGCGGGATGCCTTGCAGGGTCCCAAACATTCATTTCTGGCAACGTTTCGGGGAGAGAAAGAAAGACTTTTGCTGCTTTCCTTGTGTGAAGCCAAAAGCATAAGAAAGAAGCGGAAAGAAGTAGCCCGGTGGCCAGGCAAGGCACATGGGGCGAGTGGGACAAGTTCCCCCCCTCTGCCCTTTCCCCCCTCCCCTCACTATCTTGTGTTGTTCACCATGCAAGCAACTCAAGACTTGAGTTCCCGTGGGCCATGTGGGTGGTACAGCCTTGTGTTCCCACGCAGCCTGGATTAATTGCTTTGGGGGGATGCTTTGGGGGTGACATTTCTTTGTGGACCACCAAAATTTTCTCATGGACCACCAGTGGTCCCCAGCCCACTGATTGGCGACCACTGTCCTAGTGGACAACCACTTAAGTATGAGCCAGCAGTGTGCTGTAGCTGCCAAACAAGCCAATGCACGATTAGACTGCATCAACAGAGGGTTAGCATCAAGATCATGAGAAGGGATAGTACCGTTCTGTATTGCACTAGTGAGGCCACATTTGATTGCCACATTTAAAAAAAGATGATGAGATCCTGGAAGAAGTCCAGAGAAAAGCAATAGAGAAGAGCAATAAAGATAATAAGTAGTCTGGAGGCTAAACTCTATGATGAATAGCTAAGGGAATGTCTAGCCTAACGACAAGAATAATTAGGGGTGGCATGATAGTTGTCTTCCAGTACATGATAGTCTGTCACAGAGAAGAAGGGGTCGACCTATTCTCCAAAGTGCCTAAGGGCAGGCAAGAAGCAATAGGAGGAAGCTTTATTAAAGAGAGTACTAAGGTGAAATTTCCAGATACTGAACAATTAATCAGTGAAATGGCTTATCTTCAGAAGTTGTGGGTGCTCCATTACTGGAAGTTTTCCAGCAGAGACTAGACAGCCATTTGTCTGGAATAGTATACTTTGCTCATATAAAGAGATTTTGACTGCTCTCTGACCCAGCCAGTTGTACTAGATTTTAATGGCCACAGTGGGCAAAAGTTGAGAGAATAGATTGTTAGCATAACAGCCACAAACATCTTATTTATTTATTTTGGATGCAATAATTGCTAATTGCTAATAAATCCTAATCAGATGGCAGCCTCACAGATTCTGCTGCTTTGAAAATTCAAAATTGCTATCCAGTTGGGAATGTTATTTTTATCTTAAAATGTTCAACTTGGTTTGTCTGTTTCTAAAATACTTTACTTAAATTTCTATTTGTTTTAGAACCGTAGAACCTTTGGAATATTACAGAAGATTCTTAGTGAGTACAAAGTGTATATATTTGTATATATTAAATATATTTTTCAAATCTACTCGTTGTATGAAGATAGACATATCTGGAGCCTCTCATCACTTGCTCCATAGAAGCAGATTGCATTAAAACAGGATCGGATATGAGTAGAATAAAGCAAGATGTATTCAGGATTTTCCCAGTGCTCACAGTCTTTTAATGGCTATTTTCATATTGTCAGAACTTCCTCACTAAACACACACACACAAAAATTCCTGTCAAAAGTTTTAGCATTGAAGATTCAGCTTTTGGTTATCAGTGACCGACTTTTATTTAGCACATCTATTTAAATCTGAATATATTTGCTTTTGAATCCAAATAATTATACCTTTGTTTTTAGATGATTCATATCATACCAATTTCCTTGTCAAATCCTGATTTTTTTAAAACTCAAATTTGTATACTGTAATCCAATCAGATTAATTATGTATGCCTGATTTGGTGATCCTTATAGAAAGAAAATTGTCGGCCTGACGGAAGGGACCTTGGTGAATTTAGGACCACAACTATCAACATAGGTAAATGCTTCACTATTAAACAACTATTCTTGCTCACAGTATTCCAAATTAATTGTCTTCAATATGTAGTTGAGTTTGTTTTGAGAAATAATGGGAAGAATAGCATAGAGAACATATTCTGATTAAGCAAGTATATGAAAAACAGTCAAGACTAATCATAAGACATAAGAATTTATTTGTCATTACACTCTCAAGCGGGTGCAACGAAATGAGGTGCTCTTCCACAAAGTAAAAACTGGACAAACACCACTAAAAAGAAAAAAATTAAACTAAACACAACCAACCATACAATCATCTCTATGCAATTTAAAAATGTAAATACCCCATTACTCTCAGCCATTTAATTCCACAAAAATCTTATGACCCTGCATTCAAACTCAAAACTGTACTTGGATAAAAACTGTTCTTAAATCTGGTCGTCCTTGTTCTTAATACCCTAAATCTTCTTCTCGATGGTAATAGTTCAAAGAGCTGATGTCCCGGATGAGAGGAGTCATTCAATATATTAAGTATCTATATTATATTATTATATTAATATATTAAGTATCTATCACTGTGGTGATATGTTGAAATGATTCATATTAACCACAGCATCTGGTTTAACTATAGAAAGTGGCTGTTCCCACATTGTTTTCTCCTTGCCAGTCCCCCCAAAAGACTCCCAGAATACCAAAGACCTTGCTGAATGTAGTGGTCAATGATGGAAGCAGCTGTTCATAGAAAGAAGTTAGAGACACTTTATGGTCCACTCATAAAATATGTATTTTACTGATATTCCATCCTCTGTCTTCTGCAGTGGTGAGAGAAATTTTGTGAATCTTATAGAACTATCTGTAACACTATTGTATTGTACATTCTGAACATGATTAGAGCTTCATATAAATCCTATTAATAAAATCAGTAAAAAGATTTTCACTAAATAAATAACTTTTACAATAGTGTTTTTATAACACTATCAAAAACATGCCAATATACTAAACCATCATTCATTGCTTTGTTGGAAAATGTATGTGAAGTTGTAATTTCTGGCACCTCATTTATGAGCATTGAAGTTTTGTTGATAGAATGGATTCAGGATTGTACCAGCAAATTTTATAGCAGAATGTCCAAAGCATTCATTGCTACTAAAGCTTCATGTATTTTTCAACAAATCCTGGCATGATGTGTGCAATAATGATATAATTTGGCATGTTAGCCTTTTTTTTAAGTAGGAGTTAGATGAGCATCACTATATAGGGCACAAGACTGCAGGATTGTAGATAAATTGAAAGGATATCCAGACTGTCATTATTTGGTCTCTTATGGAGGGCTGTCACCCTGCTCAGCAGGTTTGCCAACCTTTCAGAAGCATTTAGACTGATGAGAACAGTGTGAAGAAAAGTCAGCTTTTATCTACCTTTAGTAAGTAGATATCTGATTAAGCTCTTGTTATATCCAATTTTATGGACATACATTTTAATAAAAACAATCTGCTTGAATTGCTCACAAGAAAAAGAATGGAGAGAGAAAAGCTTGTTTTTAAAATACACAATTTTTCAGCAGCAGTGGTAAAATGTTTTACTGTGCTGTACATTCACAGTGGATATGATGAGAAACCTTAAAAATGAGCTAAGTCTGAGCCATCACTGTACATCATTGTATGAGTGTAATTGGACTGTTTTTGTTACTTCATTTTCTATGGATGAAATTAAACCATCATAACAAGAGATTAGCTAAAACAGAGTTCCCCAATTTTTCCGGCTTTGTGGCTGGAGAGAGGGGGGATGGTTGCATGCATTCACAGCTCCATTTGCACAAATGGAATGCGCACACACACTTGTACAAGTGGGGATGCACATGTGTACGGCCTGGTTCTGAACGGCTCATGGCTCAGTAGTGGGCCACAGCCCAGGGGTTGGGGACTCATGAGCTAGGGGTTGCAGATTGCCTACTCAGGCTTAAAGACGTGCGCTTTTCTGAGCAGAATAAAAAAAATGTGTTATGGTACTGCTTGAGATGTATGCACCACTTAACACTGAGATACCTTTTCAGTTAATCAAAATATCTTTAGTTGGATTAACTAATTGGTTAAACATTATTTTGACTTGGCTCTTCTACTTGAAATAGTGTGTGCATCTAAGGCAGGGGTTCCTAATCTTTTGCATCACACCTCTCTTTAGTATAATCTTAACGTGCACATTTCCCCTAAAAACTCTAACACTGAAATGAACACAAATAAACAATGAAAACAATGTGATGAAACTTTGGGAAGTGTAGATTTATTGTAACAATATACAACTAAAAATTTCTTCATGCCTGTCCTGGTCTCTCTCTGCACCTCCCCATATAATTCATAGGTATCTGAACTAAGGGCTTAATGTTCCTATAGGCTTATTGTATAAACCTTATATATAATGTATAGGGCTGATAAAATGTTGTTTTCCCTTCCAAATAGTTTTCCAAGTTTATAGGCAATGTAGTTTGCAGTTGAATTTGATTTTAAATGAAGTTATTATTTGAAACCATTCTAATTATGAATCTTACTGATGCATTCCCATTGTTCTTCAGTTCTCCTTTTCCCCCCTATAGCTTTCTCAAAGCGTTCTGAATTCTTTTAAGGATTTCCGCCCATTATTTTAATTTGTTTCTCTAGTAATTTGAGCAGCAATGCTCAGATTAGGACATTATAGTAGCATTCAACATTAAGTTCAGAAAGGAAGAAAATGATGAACCTCACAATCTATATTTTATGACATCTTGGGTTTAGAAAGACAAGGTTTTAAGAAACTTTCCAGGAAAAATACACAAATTCAATCTCATTGAGTTATTATATGATTCTGAAAAACTGATATCTGTATGTAACCACTGGCTCTTATTTTGAATGCATCAATGTAACATTTACTTATTGTCTTGAGTAGATTTTATGAAGTGTTTTTTCTTCTTTCTTTAGGTTCAATTACAACTGCAGATGGCTCTGCACTTTTGAAGTTAGGGAATACTACAGTGATATGCGGCATAAAAGCAGTAGGTTCAGTGACATATATCTTTAAAGCTAACACAAGTAGTCCTCTGTTAATGAGCACTTGTTCATCCCCCATTCAGTTACAAAGGTGCTAAATGAGTGATGCTTATGATCAGCCCTCGAAGTGCCTACCATCGCATCACCCCCACAGTTTACTCATGTCCCTTTGCAGTGTTACTGAATGATATGCTATCTCTATTTCAAGAATTGGCTATTCAGATATAAAATGTTTGTGATATTGTGATATAGATTTATGTTTCAGGAGTCACTTTATAATATATGAGAAAGGAAAGCATTTAAGAGAAAGCAATAGTGAACCTGCACAAAAGAAAGTAGGAATTCAGACCTTGTCCCCACTACTTTGACATTGACCATACCACCAACTTCCTGCCACATTCAGCCTTAGAAACTGAGCTGTGTAACTAATGTATTCAGTTAATAGTTTGTTTTAATAAAACACATCAAAATTCAGGCAAAATACGTGTGTTGCAGCTATATTGTTTTAAACCAACTTCTAAATTCTTATATTTTGCCCTTCTCCAACTATACATTGTGTACAGGAATTTGCAGCCCCCGCCGCTGATTCCAGTAACAAGGGATATATCAGTAAGCTTTCTTTATTCACTTTTTTCTTCAAATATGACATTACTATCATGCAGATAATATTTATGATTATTTCTCTACTCGTATAGTTCCCAACGTAGAACTTCCTCCACTTTGTTCATCAAGATTTCGACCTGGACCTCCATGCGAAGAGGCTCAGGCAGCTAGTCAGTTTATTGCTGATGTCATTGAAAAGTAAGAAATTTACACTTTAATACCAGAGTCTTTTGGGGTGGAGCAACTATAATAGACAGACAGGCAAGCAGATAGACAGCTCTAAGATTGGTAGGGTAGCTGGGGAAGCTGCCAATTGTAATCTCTAGAAAACCTGCGTTGAAAAAGTGGAGAGACAGAATGCTAGTTTTCAATATTTATTATTATTATGCTTCATTACACTGTCAATCAAGAGTTTAGACTGGATTTGAGATTTTTGTCCACTTACCAAGTCTTTTCCAAAGATCTGGGATAGACAGATGATGCTGTTTGATGCTGTTAAACATGTTGTTGTTATTTTATTGTTATTAGTATTTGCCATGTAAAAAGCCTTGGATGGCACTTTAAAAATCTGTGCATTGATAACATTTCCACTCATCAATTACAAAGACCACACTGCACACATATACTATGCTGATACATTATGACATCTTGGGAAGAATTCAATACGAATGAAAGCCAACACCAGCTAAAGAACTGCAAGCTGTATTTTCAAATTGTTGTATATGTAGTAGTACCAGCAGTAGTTCTGGTAATAGTAGTAGTAGCAGCAGTAATATATTGATGATGATAAAAAAAGCAGAATTGGGGATAAATGGAATGTCGTCTTCATTATGCCATTATTTCAGTTCACAGATGATAATGAAAGAAGATCTATGCATTTTAGATGGAAAGGTGAGTAAACATTTTATTTTAAGAATTGTGAGAAGCTGAGATGCTCCTAAACTAACAAATTCCAATAAACAGAGAAGATATGAAATGTCCTTTCATTTTATCATGCATGGTACGAAGCATCTGTTGTCTTTAAACAAGGTTGAAGCTGGACAGCAGTTAATACTTTCCTTGCACTGAATGTTTTGTTGAGCACATTTCAAATGTAAATAGAAACATATACATTATTACAGATGTAAATGTGCCATAGTTGCATTGTGGTGTTGATTTGGCACTGTGTAGCTCCTTAAAATATCCTAGAATAATTTCTCATTATTTCACTGCTGCTGTTCTACTCTGCTTCTTGATAAATTTAGTATCTTTTCTGCAGTGAGGGCAACAATTTGTTGTTTTACTTCTTGAGCATCCTTCTTTGTCCATTGGTCCAACTGCTTCCTTGGCGGATTTCCTGTTTTGAATACTCTGACAACAGCTTTGATAAACTGGCTAAACCCGATGAGGGAGCTAATGGATCTTAAGCCTTCAGTGAGACAGACAGTTGCCTGTCCCAGCATATGAAGACAAACTCCAGATTAAGCTGATGAGGCCACTGGAAGGACTAGTTGTTATGGTCTCTGCAAGTATTGTGCAAGTATGAAGAACAGGACAAGACACAAAAGATATTCTCGTCACCCGCTATGCCTAGTCTCATTTCCAATTGTCTTGACTGTATCTTGCCACTGGACATAGATGGGAATTGGGCAGAAAGAATGAAGCGACACTGCACAACTCTCCCTTATTTTAATCCATTTTATGTGCTAGTCTGAACACCATTATCGTCATCACTTTTAAAAAAATAACATGGGTGACAATGGGTGAACCCAATGAGCAGTAGGTGTGGCTACACTAGGAGCTGTGATCATAGATCTGCATACAGGCGACTCAGGTTTAATGCCCAGTTTTTGAACATAACACCTATCCAGGGGACTGAGCAGCCCTCTCTAGGAATTCATGCCTCATCTCTACAGTATAAGGGGCTAGAAAAGGTACCCTACAACATTGCTTGCTTCACTACATCCTAGCCAGTTTACCATGGCTGGCAGGATCCCACTTTGGCAGTCAAAACACAAAAAATGCAAGGTGATGCTGCTTATCATTGGCACTTGTAGCATGTGCACACTTTTGAACAACTTGATGGCAGAAGAACAGCTTTAATTGTCAAAGAATTTGTAAGATACAACATTGACACTGGACGCCAGAGTAAGATTTGTCTTGCCAATAAAGATCAACTGACTGCAATTGGTGGTGGATACACTTTTTTCTGGGACAGTTGTCACTGTGATTACAGCTGCAATGCTGGAATTGGATTTACCATCAGGAGTCACCTTGTTTGGAAACTTATTAGTCTCTCCAAGGGTGTGAACAACTGGCTCATGACACTGCAGCTTCTGCTACAGAATAAAAGTCAAGTCACCCTGATCAGTGCCTATGCCCCCACAATGACCAACCCCAATGAGATGAAAGATGGATACTATGAAGAATTAGATAACCTTCTATCAGCAGTGGGCAGAATCAACAAGCTGATCTTGCTCGGCAATTTTAATGCAAGAGTAGGATGTGATTCTGCATCCTGGCAGGGTGTCATTGGGAGATACGGAGTAACAGTAATGTTCTACTCTGACTCACGTTCACTTCAGCACATGACCTCCTCAACACCAATAAAACTTTGACTACCTGTAACCAGACCTCCTAATTGCACTCCCACTCTAAGCATTGGCATCTTGCTGACTACCTCATTGTCAGAAAAAAAGACAGTATTGGAATGACCAAGGCCATGTGTGTTGCTGACTATTGGCTAAATCTCAGGTTCATTATCTCCAAAATGAAGCTCCATATCAGACCCAAGAGATGACCACAAGGCTATGAAAAGAATTAACATAGGCAGGCTGAGGAAACCGAGCATGCCTTCAGCACTGGCTTAGAGACTAAACTTGCTGTTCTACATCTTGCTGGCAGTGCTGAGGACAACTGGAAATGTTTCAGGGATCCTATTCGTTCATCTGCATTGAAAATTCTAGGGCTCTTTACTAGTTGATGAGTAGATAAGTGAGTTGTTGAAAAGCAAGAAAATGGCTTTAGCAGTACACATGGGAAAGTCCAAAATAAGCTGTGTAAAATGCACAATGCCTGATTGTATGCCAAAGCAGAGGAAATACAACGGGTGTCAAACTCAATTTCATTGAGGGCTGTATCAGGGTTGTGTTTGACCTCGGGGGGGAGGGTGGACAGGAGTGTGTGGCTGGGGGCGTGGCCAACTCAACATCACTTGTGTCAGGGACACCTGTGGTGGCCCAGGAAGAGCTGGAGGGATCCATTGTCTCCAGCAGAGGAAGGCGAGACCAGGGAGAGGGCCAAGCCCTTATCCTCCAGAGGAGCCTCGCCGCCCCTCTCACAACACGCGGAGAACCCCAGATGGTGGCACAGGCTGTCCAGAGCCCTAAGCAGTGGAAGGCAAGTGCTGAGCCTGGTCCTCAAACTCCCAAGGCACCAGGACCCCACAGCCCAGCCCAGCCCCGCTTCCCTGAGGGGGTGCCCAGCTGCACTTACCTCCTCAAGGCTGCTGCTGGTCTCTTTGGCCAGGTTGCTCATGGTGTGTGCGGAAGAGCAAAGTATGTAGGTCAGAGGGAGGACCACTCTCCATGTGAGAACCGGCTTTGTAACCAAAGCATCCTCAGCGATAGGATGGGAGACCACCAGGAGAGGTCAGGAGGAGGAGACAAGGGTATGGCAAAAGGACAGCAGGGCTGCTGATGGCCAAGTGCTAAGGCAGGACTTCCCTCAGACCCTCCCACCCTCTCATAATAATCTTCCTTCCTTTTCCTTTCCTTCCTTTTTCCCTTCTTTTTCCTTCCCTCTTCATTTTCCTTTCTTCTTCTTTCCCCTCTTTTCTTATTTTTCCTTCCTTGCTCTCTTCCCATCTTTCATTTTTCTTTGTCTTTCATCTTTCCCTTTCTCCTTTCCTGTCCTTTCTTGGATGCTCAAATGCAAAAGGGGAAACATTTCTTGATGCCTCCTTGCCTTGTGATCAAATGCCACTTTTGCTAGTAGTTTGTTTGGCAGCACTATGCCAGCGAAAATGGAGCTTGGGAGCGGCCATGCATGCCCCTCCCCAGCTCTGTTTTCGGCTGCCACGGCCTCCTCCAGCACCTTGCCAGCAAAAACGGATGAAGAAGTTCAACACCTGGTCAGCCTGTGCCAAGCCGAGGCATCTTCACTCTTTCCAGGGTGGGCCCGCAGGCCAGATCTAAGAACCTGGTGGGCTGGATCCAGCCAGCAGGCTTTGAGTTTCACACTACGAAATACAAGGATACTTAACAAGATAAACATCTAAAAGAATGAATATATATCCCCACTGCTATTTAAAACCTAATCCCAAATTTCTCTATAATAATCAAAATCTAATTTCAATTAATAATTAAACCTTGCAAAAATTAAAATTAAACATTACCAGAAATAACAAACCCTTATTTATATGTAAGAAGCACTAAAATAGATATGTCCATTACACCCAATTAGATATTTACAAAGCAAAATATTTTCTTCTTTCTCCCAGGAATCTTTAAATTCCATATATCGAGTTCTAACATCTACTTTGTCCTATCTACAGTATGTCTTCTCTCAAAGTTCTTGTTACCCTGCAAAGCTTGCAAGTTTTGAAGGCTTTTCAATCTTGAAGGGGTAAAAAAAAGAAAATTAAATTTCAAGATGATCTAAGAAGTGAGGGTAGGTTGAATTTTGAGTCCTTAAAAAAGGCTACATTAAAGGCCCTGCAATTCCGAGCTGATCGCAAGCAGCTGCAAAATCCTGTTTCTGCTGTCAATTCATTTTTTTAAATTCATGTTTTTTATTTTATATTGCTTATATATATATCAATGCATGAACAGTGTGATACCTGGGTATCATACATTTTAGTACAAATAAACATATTATTACTCATAGTTATTACATTTCATTTTCATTGTTTCATATTGTTTAAACATATCTGATACTACCGCCATTCAATTTCTAAGCCTCCCTCTTATTATTACATATATCTTGTTATATTAAAATATGTATCTTATTGTTCCCCTCTTATTTCTATTTCTATTCTAACTTTTATTCATGTCACTGTAGTATTCAAAGACATTTCTTTTCTGTCTTCCATCTTTCACCTGCTTTATTATTCATATTTCCCTTATTTAACTCTTCACATCTATGTATATTAAAGTTTCATCATTCTTTCATTGTTCAGTGTTTCAAATATACAGTTCTAATACCAATCACAATATCATTTAAACATATAGGATAAATCTATTCATATTCCTTCCATTCATCCAATCCATGTAATTCTACTATTAATACACATGCTTATATTAACCTATATTCTTTCATTATCTAATTACTCATTGTTTAATTTTGTTATTTCACTGCTAATCATTATATTATTTAGGCATCTTAATACCATCATTCATTCTCTATTTTTCCAATTAATGCTCAGTTCTTATTCATAATTCCCATATTTCACTCTTCATATCTATTTGTATTAAAATATTATCCTAGTTCCTATCACAGTACATACAAAATAATTATCCAGTCTATATAATTCTAATGTTAATACACATGTTCTTATTAAAATATGTTATTGAAGGATCTTTTGTTTTTTGTTTTTTTCTCCTCTTTTTTCTATCCATCGTCTCTTGGCCTCATCAGTGTCTTATTCTTTTTTTAACTTGCCTCCCATATTCTTCTTTTGAATCTTTAACTCTATCTACATCTGCATCCTGACTGTTAAAGTCAACTCCCCCCCCAACCTTTTCCACTGTCTAATTTTAAAGCTATCTGTTCTAACCCATCTCTTTTCCCAAAATATCTTCTTGCTTCTCCCATTCTCTTTTTAAGTCTTTTAAATTGTTTCCTCCTGTTTAAATTCCTGAATCATTATTAATTTTGATGATATCTCTTCCTTGTTGTCTTCTTTTAGCTGG